TCTGGGCTCCACTTCACTGACCTCCTCCACCCACAGTTTGGAAATTCTCAAAACAGTGAGTTGGACAATCCTAAAAGAACTAGCCTTCCTTGTTTTCTTTTCTCTGGGGTTTCATTGCTTGGTGTCCAGTGTTTTGAAACTTGTTTCATGTATTTTATCTGGTTTTGTTGTGGTGGTAGTGGTTGTTTCAGGTGGAAGGTTAAACCTGGTCCCTGTTATTCCACCTGAAGGAGAAGGAGGAGTCTTGGCATCCATGTTTCTAAGAGCTCTCCGGGTGAGTCCGCTGCACAGCCAGGTGAGAGCCACTTGCACAAACCTCTTTTCTCTGCTTGAAATGTTTTTCTCTAACAAATAGAATCTTTGATTATTTCCTTCCCTCTGTTTCCTCTATTCTTTCGGTTTTTTTTTTAAATGTTAGCTGTGACTATTAGATTCTTTTTAAAGATTTTAATTTTTTCCTTTTTTTCTCCCCAAAGCCCCCTGGTACATAGTTGTATATTCTCCGCTGTGGGTCCTTCTAGTTGCGGCATGTGGGACGCTGCCTCAGCGTGGTTTGATGAGCAGTGCCATGTCCACGCCCAGGTTTCAAACCAATGAAACATTGGGCCACCTGCAGCGGAGCGCGCGAACTTAACCTCTCGGCCACGGGGCCAGCCCCTCTATTCTTTCTTTCTAGAACTTCTGTTAGACAAATAGTGAACGGATTGATCTTTCATCTCTTAATTTTTCTTTCATATTTTCCATTTCTTTGCCATTTTACTCTACGTACTGAGACGTGTTTAAAAACGTTTTCCTCTCATACTTTCCTTTGATTAACTTTTTAATTTTAATTTAATTACAAATATGATTTGTAATTTCCAGAACTTTCTCTTGTTCTCCAATTGCAATGTCTTCCTACAAGCCTCTTTTTGTTTCGTGGTGCCGTGCATTGTCTTATTTATTTATTTCCTCTTCTATTTATTTGTTTTGTCTCTTCATCTTAGTCCTTTTTGGAACCACTGAAAGTTAGTATGAGGAGGCCCCCATGGTTCTCCTTGGCAGCTGAGTGGGTCTGGTTCCCCAGTAGGCCCTACCCTGAACAGGCTGCAAGCTCTGTGACAGGTGTGTTAATTGATAAAAATGCTTCACTTAGATCAAATGTGCTTGTTCCTCTCCCCCAACCCAGGTGACATTTGACAATGCCTGGAGACATTTTTGGTTGTCACAACTAGGGGGATGCTACGGGCACCTAGTGGATAGAGGCCAGAGATGCTGCTAAATATCCTGCAATGTACAGGAAAGTCTCTGAGAACAAAGAGTTATCTGGCCCAAATATCAGCAGTGTGAAAGTGGGGAAAACCTGAGAGCACGCTGCCCCACTTAACTACTGCCAAAGGCCAAGACAAGGAGGAACTCTGCACACCCACTTCAGGAGCGTTCCCAGGAATTTGTTCGTTTGTTTAGAAGAGATCTCCGACTGATGGTTTATGAGCCACATGTGGCCCACAGACTTGTTTCATTCGGCTTTTATAAGTATACAAATTAATACCCACACATACTCACACAGTGGTCAACAATTTGGTTGATTTTACCTAAAAACCCAGACTTCTAGCTTTAGCTGGAAAGTCAGAAGGATGGACACAATTGGTAGAGCTCAGTGGCAGTTGCCCCTACAGATGGACATGTGGTCTCTTTTTGTCTCTGTTCCCTGGTTCACATCACTCTCTTATGTCCGTGGTTTGGCATCTTTGTGCATGTGAGTTCATGACCCCTGCGTTTGTTTTTTTTTTTCTTTTGGCTGGTTTTATCCTGGGGACAAATACTGACTGTACCCAGGGATGGCCGTGGAATGGTTCTGAGACAACCTTTTCGTTGATCATCTTGTTTTCACTCCAGCTTGTACTATTTACTTTAGAATAATAGGAGAATATATACAGGAGAACCAGATCCACCACAGCTGGAAGTAGAGACTTGGGGATCATCAGGGCATGAGAGCTGTTGAAGGTATGCACATGAGTAAGATTGCCCAGGAAGATTGTGTAGAGAGCAAAACTAGTCCCGGTTGGACCTCTGGAGAAGGGAGCCAGCAAAAAAATCAGAGAGGATGGCCAGAGAGAGGGTAGGTGTTTGTGGAGTCAGAAGCTGAAGGAAGAGAAAGTTTCAAGAAGGGAATCAAACGTCTAATGCTGCCTATAGGAGGCTGAACAGTGTCCTTTGATTAAGATATGCATGGACTGGCCTGGTGGCATAGTGGTTAAGTTAGTGCACTCTGTTTCAGCGGCCTGGGTTTGCAGGTCCAGATACTGGACACAGACCTACACACTGCTCATCAAGCCACGCTATGGTGGCATCCCACATATAAAATAGAGGAAGATTGGCACAGATGTTAGCTTAGGGCCAATCTTCCTCACCAAAAAAAAAAAAAAAAAAAGATATGCAGATGATTATTTTGGTGTAAGCAGTTCCTGTACAGTGCTGGAAGTACACAGAAGCTGCAGCCAGTTGCAGAGTGATGGGGAGAGGAGAAAATGTAGACTGCTAGGACAGACAGCTCTTTCCAACAGTTGGCTGTGAAGAAGGTGAGAGGTCATGTTACATGGTGAAGGATGGAGAATTAGTTCTCGGTTGGCTGGTTGTTTTCCGGTGGGAGAGTTTGAACTCGTTTATAGAGGAAATAGTCTGGTTTTTTGATATTGTGAATGGTATGACCCAGTAATACATTTACACCATGAAACATCTAGAAATGCTGCATAAAATCAAACAAATATGCGTTAAAATGCACTGATGGCTTTCAAGAAAGTAAGGGGAATCCCCAGGAGCCATACACAAAGAGGAAATTGAAAACCAGAGATGTGCGAGTTGCTGGCAGGTTGTAGATCTCGGCAATGAAGGGACTTGGGTTTTACACCCACCTAGAGATTGGAGATAAAGCCTTGCCGGAGGCACTGAAAACTGAGACCCTCACATAAAGCTCAGCCCCCTAACAGATGATACCCTCAATGAAAGAGAAGACTAGAAAAAAACTCTTCCTATCAGCTCAGGGAGCGCAAAAGAACCTTGTCTGTCTCACCCTGAGATCTGGTGGCAATAGAAAGTCTCCCCAGAAAATTCATAACCAAAGGCTTGCCCTCATTTAGATTTGGGTTTCAAATTTACACCATCTGCATGGTCTCGGAAGCCCAAATAAAATTAACAAATAATGTGGTTGAGGGTTGGTAATACCCCAGAAGCATCCTTGGCAGGAGCAAACACAAAACTTCTCTAGAGAGACATACCCTCAAACCTAGTCACACGGATTCCCACTGCTACAGCTCTGCTAAAGCTGAGGTCACAACCCTAAATTAGAAAACCTAAGAGGAAGCCATCTGTCATGAATGAGAGTGAGCACCCTAGAACCACGACAGAATTATTGAGTAAAGAACCATACAGTAAATATGTTTTAAATGCCTAAAGACATAAAAGAAGGACTCAACGTTAGAAAATGATAAGATGGTGGTAAGGATGAGAGGGAGAGGTTTAAAAGAGAAAGGAGAAAGGGTAAAAATTAATGCATCTATTAATCCATTCGCCTATTCATTCCCCTTTCCTTGGGCTCCTATTATGTTTTAGACCATGTTCTGGGTCTGGGAATATAAAGACGACTTTGCGGACAAGTTGGACTCTGCCTCAGGGAGATCACAGCCATCCATGCACGCATCCATCCATCTTTCATTTTATAGCATCCTCAGATGTCACAGCTAGAAAAGTCCCAATAGAGCATCCTGTTCAGCTTTCTACTCTCTTGCCATACAGAGTAAGAATGTGAGGCCCAGTTACACAAAACTCACTTTTCTGAAGTCTCCAAGTGAGTGGGTGGCAGAGCCAGAGCGAGAGCCCGGGCCTTGCCCCTGGTGTCCCTTCTGCATGTCCTGCCTCCACTGAGCACTTGGAGTGCGGACATCTAAGCTCTGAACACTGTATCTCTGTTCTGTTTCCCTGATAGACTGGTCACTCCTCGTGGCCAGAGTCCTCACAACCCAGTCCAGTCAGATGATGGTGACAACGAGAAGTGACATAGTTACCTAGCTCCTGAGGGACAGAGATGGGATAGGAGGCCTGATCCCTACCTTGTATCAGTTACATGTCCCTGTCTTTTCTCACCGCCTCCACCCCCGACTCCTGCCACTAGAAAAACTGTGAGCTCCTTGAGAGACCAGGTCTTAAGACTCCAACTCCGGGGTCTGGCTCAGGGAAGATGTTCTGAACGCTTGCTGGATGAGTGCACCGGGGGAGAGGTCCCTCAGCCTGAAGACTTCTCATTCCCCGACTGCTCCTTCAACTTCTGGCATCCAAGGGGTTAGAGGGGAGGTCAAGGCCCAAATGCTCCCCGGCCCTCCTGAGCAGGGAGAGCTGAGTGTTGGCCTCGGCCTGGAAGGATTTCCTGGGTGTGGGTGTGGGTGAGCTCAGGAGGTTTGTGGCTGGCATCAATTAGCAGAGGACGGCTGATCCCGGGGCAGGGCTCTCTGGCTGTCTCAGGACCTCTGGGGAAGGCCTCAGGGTGGCGCTACAATGTCTAATACTTGCTGATCCATTCATCCCCCTTCTCTGAACAAAGAAAGAGCAGATCTTTGGGTCAATGTGTCCAGCAGGGAACAATGTCTACTTAGAACTTAGTATCTTCTGTTTTTAAAGGTTTGCACCTGAGCTAACATCTGCTGCCAATCTTTCTTTTTTTCTTCTTCTTCTTCTCCCAAAGCCCTCCCAGTACATAGTTGTATATCCTTGTTGTAGGTCCTTCTAGTTCTGCTATGTGGGACGCCACCTCAGCATGGCCTGGCGGGCGGTGCCATGCCCACCCCCAGGTTCTGAACTGAGTGAAACCCTGGGCCACGAAAGCAGAGTGCGTGAATTTAACCACTCGGCTACGGGGCCGACCCCCAGAATTTAATATCTTTGTTTATATTGTATTTATTTGCATATTTTATCTTCTATTTCTGGCAAGTGATACTGGTTTTCCATTTACAGTAGTGATACAAAAAAGATTCCTTTTAAAATAAATTTATTAAGCAAATAGTAAACCAATGTAAAGAAAAATATAAAGTAAATAATAGTACAGGTGGTAAGTTGGTATGGCAAAAATCCTAACATTCACGACTGAAGTTCGGGAAATCAGACCCCCAGGGAACAGAAACTCCTTCCCTCTCCCCAGCCCCTGGCTCTGCTCCCAAAGTGAGGTCAGCTGATAGAGGTGACTAGGGGCCAAGGACATTTCCAGACTCCATTTCTCTGGGATGGAGCATTATAAGTAAGTCTGTCTTGGAGAAAATCTGTCTCTCTGGACCATGCCAGCAAGCCAGGAGGAAGATAGCTGGCGGCTGCATTTTGGGAGCTACCCTGCCCCGGGACAGTGCTCCTTTCCACACTGGATCAAACTCACCTCTCCTTGGCCCCAGCCTCCCTCGCTGTCGAGGGCTAAGATTCAGAGGGCTGAGGTGTGTTGGCCTTAAGAGGACAGGGCACCCATCGGTCTTCTTTGGCTCTAGGTCCCAGCTGCAGGCAAGAGAGGGGCTCCGCAGGTTGGCTAACCAAGTTCCCTGTTGCCAGTTGGGGGTCAAAGCCATAGTCTGTATGTAGTAAGACGCTCCTTTGCCTGGTCTTGACCTCTCTGTATGTTTTCCTGGAGGGATGATTTGTGGCTCTGGGAAGCTGGATTCCTGTCATCTCCTGCTGGCACAACTGACGCTCATCATCAGCACCCTCAGTCTGTCCTTCCACATCCACGAGACTCCTCCACTTTGATATGGACATCTTAGGTGCACACTGAAGGAAGGTGGAAGCCACTGCATTGATGCTATTTCCTGCCCGTCTGGTACCTTGAGTTCTTAATCCAGATTGTGATCTTGGTGGCTTCTGGCCCAGAGTCGGCCCCACCTCCAGTTGTCTGCGCCACAGCCCCAGGCAGCGAGGCAGAAGCCCCTCTCGGCTTCCCCTGCAGCACAGGCTCTATGGGCAACCAATCTGCCCCGACCTAGAGCCAGGGGAATTGAAATCCAGAGGTAAAAGGCCTGGCAGGGGCATTCTTCTCTGGGGGGCTTCAGTACCAGCTCGGGTTCCCAGGCTGGAGCCCCAGGGTCTTAAGGTCCCTCTGAGGTAGGGCCTTCCTCAGAGTCTCCGGGAGGGCAGTCCTCCAGGCGCTGGGGATTCAGAACCCAACACTTGTCCGGCCTTCACGCCTCCAGAAAGCTGAGATCTGTTCCAGGGTGACCCGAGGCTGGAGACCCCACTCAGGATCAGGGCTTCCTGGCCGCTGCCTCCTGGACTGGGGGCTCCCCAAGTACACACTGGCAACTGGTCCCTGTTCAGGCTCAGCCCAGCTCACTAGGCCTGGGGCATGGGGTCTCTCCTCCCCGACCTGGGGTCCCCAAAAGGTGCTGTGGGCTAAGACCTTGGGTGGTGTCTGGGGGACCAAGGATCTGGGAGGGGAGTGAGGGGCTGAAGAGGCAGGTGGGGCTGTTGCTCGGGCCTCCAAGGTGCCTCCAGGGGTGGGAGGGTCTGGGGCCTGGTCCCTCAGCAAGGGGACCGCGGAGCCATACCAGTCCTCTGAGCGCTCTCGTGGGGTTCCCGTGGGCTCAATCCACAGCTCTCCTCCAGGGCGCCAGACCAGGGTGGGCGCCTGGTTCCTGGGGTCTGGTTGCGGAGAGCGGCGGAACAGGCGTTCGGCCAGCACAGCTGTTGTGAGGAGGAAGAGCGCGGAGAGAGAGGCCAGGGCCAGCATGATGGGGATACAGGGCCCGCAGGGCAGCGGAGGCCATGAGGCTGCCTCCAACACAGGAGGCCCCTCCATGTGCTCAGAGGGCTGCCCTGGAGTAGAAGGCATCTGGAGAGACAGGGGTCAGGAGAGGAACAAATGAGACAGGGTTGGCACAATCTAGAGAGAGAGAGGCAGCAAGTTCTCTCTGATGCCCTCTCACCATTTCTGGGCCCCCTTGGCCTGCAGCCAGGCTTTCCTGCTCAGAATCCCAGCTCCCTTCCTGAAGCCCCATTTTCCTCCCAGATGTTAGGGTGCCTCCCTCTCGGCCCCCTCAGATCTTGCTCAGACCTAGAGAGGAAGTGCTGGGTGAGGAAATGAGAACGTCCCCTCCCTGCCCTTCTCCGGCCTGTGTGCCCCCTCCCGGTGGCCTCTGCTGGCCTCTTGGCTGCTTCTTTGCCCACACAACTCTCCTTGGAGTTGGTCTTGCTCTCGGCAGGGTCCACCGAGTTTGCTGTCCTGCCAGGTCTCAGGTGCCATCTCTGCCCCTGTCCCCACCTCTCCGGCTTTGCCCAGTCTCTGGCCCGACTCTATCTGCCTTGTTTGTCTCTCTCTCCCAGGACCCCAACCTGCAGGAGACTCCTGCATGCCTCACTTCACCTTGGGTCAGTCCTGGGCTCCTCTCTCCCTTTGGAGCTGATCCTCCTTGTGCTTGTAGGGAGGCCGCAGGGCCGGTGCCTCAGATGAGGCAGATGAGGCGGAAGGGAAGGCACCACCAACCGTGCTCCCTCTGCCTGGGGAGTGTTTCCAAGGCAACCTGGGGGATGTGGTCACTGCGGTGAGGGCGTTTCCTGGTGAGAGGTGGGGCCGGAATGGGCAGTGGTTCTATTCAACTCAGCCTCACCCTATAGCCAGGCACCAGGCCCAGAACATTCACCTGGAGGCCAAGAAAGAGGAGACAGACACTCTGGCCTGTCAGTTCCCAGAGTGCCAAGGCACCTCGCTCTGCCTGCTCCCTGGTGGCTGCTCTGTCCCCGTCCTGCTCCCTGGGCCCCGTCAAACCCACTCCTGCCATCCAGCCCCCACATGCCCTCCTGCTTGACCCAGCCTTCTGATGAACATATGTCTCCTTGTCTTCACACCATTCAGCCCTGATTTTGGTTGGAAAATATCTGTGTGGTGAGGCCTGGTAGCCAGCATGTGAGGCCTCTAGGAAGAGTCCAGGGTAAAAACCAGGTTTAAGTCTGGAACATTGCCATCTCGATCCTTTCTCCTGATGCTGAGGGGCGGAGGAGCCCGGGGGCAGGGTGTGATGGAGTTCTGTCAGAGATGGTCTAGTTTGACTCACTCACTGACAGATGACAAGTAAGCTCTAAATAAGGGAGGTGTCTTGCTCAAAGTCAAACAACCCAAGTGTGTGGGAGGGACGGGGCAGCATTGATATGAATTCCCCATCTGGCAAGTAACCTGAACACAGCACAACTCTTACTACGTATTAGTATTTTGCTTTGCAGGATGGCAGCCCTTTAATGTGAAAGGCTCCAAAAATATGTTGAAATGTTAGCATCTTACAAAATATGGTCACAAGGCAGCCTGACTCAGATTGCTCTGTCCTGGTGGTTTTGAGGAAAGGGCCAGAAGGAGCACCAAGTGTGGCATGGGGTGGGCGTAGGAGAAAATGGAGAGTCTTGAGGCTCTGGGCCTTTCGACATATGCAGAAATCTGATGAGATTAGAATTTGATGAGATTATAAACCTTGAAAGAAAACCTGAACTTAGTACCTCTGAATCACACACTTAAAAATCGTTAAGATGGTAAATTTTAGTTATATGCATTTATGACAATAAAAAAATTTTATTTAAAAAATCCAAATAAAACATATAGACAAGGAGAACTGATCGGTGGTTACCAGGGCAAAGGGGGGGGTGGGGGGAGGGCACAAAGGGGGAAGTGGTGTACCCACAACATGACGAACACTAATGTACAACTGAAATCTCACAAGGTTGTAATCTATCATAATCCTAATTTAAAAAAAAAAACTATTGCATAAAAAAACCAAATAAATAAAACGTGAAAATTACATATGTTTTCTTTTAATTACTCTTGCTTTAAAAAAACACTAGAAGAGTAAACTTTATTAAAAACCAGAAATATCAGACATGCCTATTCTGTTCCTAAGGTATCAAACCGGCTGTTTTGATTATTTTTTTTTCCTGCTTTTTCTCTCCAATCCCCCCAGTACACAGTTGCATATTTTTACTTGTGGGTCCCTCTAGCTGTGGCATGTGACGCTGCCTCAGCTGATGAGTGATGCCACATCCGCGCCTAGGATCCAAACCGGCAAAACCCAGGGCCACAGAAGCAGAGCGTGAGAACTTAACCACTCGGCCCTGGGGCCCCTTGTTTTGATTCTTAACTATCTTTCATCACTTAAAAAAAGGCCTAAATATTTTTAGCTGGTTCCTCAAAAAATTAAACACAAAATTACCATATGATCCAGCAATTATACTTCTATGTATATACAAAGAAATTGAAAGCAGAGACTCAAACAGATACTCACCAATGTTTATAGCAGCGTTATTCACAACAGCCAAAAGGTGGAAACAACTCAAATGTCCATCAATAGATGAATGGATAAACAAAATGTGGCATATATATATATATATATATATATACAATGGAATAATATTTAGCCCTAAAAAGGAAGGAAATTCTGACAGATGCTACAACGTGGACAAACCTTCATAACATTGAACATTAAACGTTAAAGTGAAATAGGCCAGTCACAAAAGGACAAGTACTGTATGATGCCACTTATAATGAGGTTCCTAGAGTAGTCAGATTCATAGAAACAGAAAGAATGGTGGTTATCAGGGGATGGGGGAGGGGGGAATGGAGAGTTATTGTTTAATGGGTATAGAATTTCAGTTTGAGAAGATGAAAACGTTCTGGAGATGGATGATGGTAATGGTTGCACAACAATGTAAATGTACTTAATGCCACCAAACTAAACACTTAAAAATTGTTAAAATGATTAATTTTATGTGATATATATTTTACCACAATAAAAAATTTAAATAATAGAAAATTGAGACATAGACAAGAAAATTATTCCATGTAATTTCCTCACTCCCAAATAAACCTGCATTCTTTTCACAGGTTTTTCAGAGTGGGGATCAGAACCCAGGTGTTCTGACTCCCTGGTTCCTCCCACTCCACCACTCTAGAATTTCTGAAAAAAGGAGTCAGGAAGTTACTGAAGGAGAGTGTCCAGAAGAGAAGTCTCTGAGTCAGAAATGTAGAAAACAGGACTTTGGTGGGTGTCTTCTGGGTTTGGGGGTGCTCCTGCGGCCAGGTGTTCAGGGATGAGCCTGACTGGGCCTGGAACGAGCAAAAGAAAACTTGACTTCTCACAGACGAGGCAGCTGGCTTGTGGGCTCCTATATGCAGAGTTCTGTCCTTGGTGCTCCTTGCTCCTAAGTCTATGCGGTGGTTTTAAAACCTGTTTGCAAATTTCTTGACACTCCTATCATAAGGTTGAGTCTAATCCCCCACCTCTTGAATATGGACTGGCTTCGGTGACTCACTTCTCACGAATGGCACACAGCAGAAGTGACAGGCTTGCTTCCAAGGCTAGGTCAAAAACAAGGGACAGAGCTCCCACCTGGTTGGGAGCTCTCTCTCCCTCCTTGCTCCCTCTCTCCCCTCACCCTTGGAACGCAGTCACTGTGTGGGAGGAAACCCAAGACACATGTAGGTGTTCTGGTTAAAGTCCCAGCTAGGGTCCCAACTACCTGTCAACGCCAACAATCTGAGCCATAAGTGAGTAACTCTTCAGATGGCTCCAGCACCAGCCTTCAAGCCACCTCAGCTGATGCCAGGCAGAGCAAAGATGAGACATCCCCACTGAGCCCTGCTGAAAACAGAGATTCATGAGAAAAATAAATTACTGTCTTAGGTCACGACGTTATATCCAGAAATAGATATCTGGAAACTCTGTCAATGATTTTCACTAGGTGAGTAAGGACAGTGCTTCAGAGCCACTTGTGGGGCCTTCCCCAGAGTTCACTCTTTATTCCTAAGCTTCCCTCTGCCCCACCCCATTCTATTACACTGTTTTACAGCCTGAATTCGGGAGGGTGGGGAAGGATGTGGCAGTAACAAGAGCATTGAGTGGATTATGAAATCCCTCTAGACCTGCTCTGTCTAATACAGTGGCCATTAGCCACATATGGTTCTTGAAATTCAAATTAATTCAAATAAAATGAAACATTCCGTTCTTCAGTCTCACTAATTACAATTCAAGTGCTCAATAGGCACATGCAGCTAGTGGCTACTGTATTGGACAGTGTGGCTACAGAACATCTCCACCACCACAGAAAGTTCTATTGGACAGTGCTGCATTAGAACCTCGCTGCCCGGAGTCAGCTGAGGACCAGCAAGGCCAGCATCACCCAGGAGTGCATCGGAATGCAGACTCACAGGCTGCACCCATATCCATGGATCAGAAGCTGCATCTTCTCAGGTTACGCAGGTGATCTGTGGGCACATGAATGTTTGAAAAGCACTGCACTGGCCAGAAGTTCTCAACCTTGGCTGTCTGTTAGAAGCAGCTGGGGAGCTTTTTAAAATGCCTGATGCTGACACTGCACCTCTGACCAAGTAAATCAGAGTCTGTGGGGTGGGACCCAGGTATGAGTCGTCTTTAAGGTTTTCTAGCTGATTCCAACGTGCAGCCAAGGTTAAGAACCACTGCTCTAGTCCATATCCTCTGGGGGGTCCAAGAGCTTCTTCTCTGTAGTGGGCACCTGTTAGATTATCTGACCAATGCCACCATTTGAGAAATTGTCTTTTCTGAATGGTTGCAGTAAGAGCTGTCACGTTCCTACAGTGTCATCCCTCCACCTGGCCTCGAGTTACTAGACTGACACCTCAGATGTGCAGTGAGGAAGTGTTCATTGACATTTGCCCCTCAAGAGGCTGTGGGCCCCTCCTAGGCAGGAAACTTCGTTTCCACTTTCCAAGCGCCCGCTATAAACGCTTTTGGTTACATGAAGTTCAAGCTATCTTTGCTTGCTTGTCAGCGCTCTGTGGTTAGTGGAGCATTTTGCCCTTATTCTTTTATAAAATGAGCGGACATGTAAAAGTGATGAGACTAGAGAAAAGATGTGAGACCTCATAAACTTGGCACAATAGGGACAAAGTTGAGAAGCACTGTGGATGCTAAAATCAGTGAGTCTGGACACACACCGGGTTTTAGTTGGTGTGCAGTGTATTCAATTGGGAAGGAAAAGAACAAAACTGAAGCATGTGTATGGAATTCTAGGAATATATGTTTAGGTTTATAACTAAAACATGAGCAGTAATTAGCAATTTTATGATTTTCTCATTTCCACGGGATGGAGCCACTCCTTGGAACATGAGACTGTGTTACTTGTGCACACTTGAGTGATGTAGAAACCCTTCCTTGGCCCTCACTGTGCACCAGGCAGTGTCCTGGGGCTTTATTCACGTCAACCATTTAATTCTCACAGCAACCCTAAGAGGTAGGTACAATTATCACTTTTTTTTTTCAAGATGGGTAAAGAAAAGCAGAAAGAGGTAAAGTAACTTGCCCCAGCACATGGCTTCTGAATAGTAGTGGCTGGATTCCAGCACAGTCTGTGCTCTTCACCAGCGCACCACAAGGCCCCTGTCTGAATACGTTTGCAGAATGTGTCATGCATGAGAGCAGATGACTGTTTGAACCTCATGTGATATGTAAAAGAGACCAAATCTGCTCATATTTTTGGATGAATTCTTCCTGAC